TTAGCGTGCTGTGTGTGTAGTTAGTGTGTGGGGAGTGGTGGTGCAGTGGTTAGCGTCCTGTGTGTGTGTAGTAAGTGTGTGGGGAGTGCTGGTGTAGTGGTTAGCGTGATGTGTGTGTGGTGAGTGTGTGGGGAGTGGTGGTGCAGTGGATAGCGTGCTGTATGTGTGGTGAGTGTGTGGGGAGTGGTGGTGCAGTGGTTAGCGTGCTGTGTGTGTAGTAAGTGTGTGGGGAGTGGTGGTGCAGTGGTTAGCGTGCTGTGTGTGTGTGGTGAGTGTGTGGTGAGTGTGTGGGGAGTGGTGGTGCAGTGGTTAGCGTGCTGTGTGTGTGTGTAGTGTGTGGAGAGTGGTGGTGCAGTGGTTAGCGTGCTGTGTGTGTAGTGAGTGTGTGGGGACTGGTGGTGCAGTGGTTAGCCTGCTGTGTGTAGTGAGTGTGGGGAGTGGTGGTGCAGTGGTTAGCGTGCTGTGTGTGTGTAGTAAGTGTGTGGGGAGTGGTGGTGCAGTGGTTAGCGTCCTGTGTGTGTGTAGTAAGTGTGTGGGGAGTGGTGGTGCAGTGGTTAGCGTGCTGTGTGTGTGGTGAGTGTGTGGGGGAGTAGTGGTGCAGTGGTTAGCGTGCTGTGCGTGTGTAGTGAGTGTGTGGGGAGTGGTGGTGCAGTGGTTAGCGCGCTGTGCGTGCGGCGAGTGTGTGGGGAGCGGTGGCGCAGTGGTTAGCGCCCTCTCTGTGCATCACCACCACCACTGGGGAGACAAAGGCGGCCGGGGCGTGGTGCTGGCAACCCCCACACCCCCTCACATGACACACACACACACAGTGCCGTTAGCCTTCATAGGTGCTCGCTAACAGCACTTGCCACGACAGTCTGTTTCAGGCTATTCGGGGGATCTTTGTCATTGTGTAAAAGCGACAATATTTGAAGGCGGCTAAACACCAAAGCCTCCGTCTGGTTCAGTCCATCAATCAGCACTGGAAGCACGGAGATATATTTGCTGATGCTGCTGATGATGGGGGGTGGAATGGTGATGATGCTGCTGATGCTGCTGCTGTTGATGGTAATATTGATGGAGGAGGTGGTGATGATGATGGAAGTGATGATGGTGATGGTAGTGATGTCTGTGGTGATGAAGGTGGCGATGATGATGATGATGGGGGGTAATGATGATGCTGGCGATGATGAAGATGATGATGATAATCACCACTACCATCATCATCACCGCGACTACCATCATCATCACCACTTCCATCATTACCACCACTACCACCATCACCAACACTACTGTACCATCATCACCAACACTACTGTACCATCATCACCAACACTACTGTACCATCATCACCGCCACTACCATCATCACTGCCACCACAATATCACCACGACCACCACCACGACCATCATCATAACCATCACTACCATCTTCACCACCACCACCACTATCAACACCACCACCATCATCAATATCACTATCATCAACTACCTCTCCCGTCATCAACACTATCATCGCCACTACCTCTATCATAATTACCACAAATACCATCATCCTCAGCACCACTACCACCATCATAAACACAAGTACCATCATCATCAATATCACCACTGTTACCATCACCAGCATTACACACCGCTACAATCACCACCACCATCAAATATCATCAACACCATGAACTACCACCACCACAACTATTACTGTACGATCAGTACCATCACATACCGCTATTGTCAGCACCACCACCATCAATGTCACCATCATGACCACAATCACTATCCCCACCACCACACCCCGCTACCATCATCAATATCACCATCACCACCCCTACCATCACCACAACCACCTCGACTATCACCGCCACCTTTACTATCACCACCATCACCACCACCACCAACTCTACCATCACCACCACCAACTCTACCATCACCACCACCAAACACCACCACTACCAGCATCACCACTACGGTATTACCATCAGCACCATCAATATCACCATCATCATCAACCACCACCAAAAACACCACCACGATTACCATCAGAACCACCATCTATATCACCACCAAACACTACCACTATTACTATCACCAGCATCGCACACCGCTACCATCGGCGGCACCACCACCATCAATATCATCAACCATCAGCACCACCACCGCCGCCAAGATTACTATCACCACCATCAACGTCACTTTCATCACCAGCCACCTGAAACTACTAAACCACGTCCCATGCATATTCTTGGTTCTTTCGGTAAAGTCACGTAGAAGGGAAACAATAAAATAATAATACAAATATAAAAATATAAAACAATATTTTTACGTTTTTTTATTATTTTATTGTTTTTCTTCTACGTGGTGGTGACTTTACCCAAAGAACCAAGAATATGAATCCCTGCAGTCACGAAAGCTTTAAATCAACATTTCACGTCCCATGTGACAAGAGAGACACGAGGCGCTGTGTGGAGGCCCCAGTGTGGGACAACCCCGTGTCCCCGTGTCTCCCCGTGTGTCCCCGTGTCTCCCCCCGTGTGTCTCCCCCCGTGTGTCTCCCCCCGTGTGTCTCCCCCCGTGTGTCCCCTCTGTGTCTCCACCCCGTGTCTCCACCCCGTGTGTCCCCTCTGTGTGTCCCACCGTGTCTCCCTGCGTCTCCACGTGTCTCCCTGCTGTTTGTCCCCTCCCCACCCCCCGTGTGTGTCCTGGCGACCCGGGTTCGATTCCCGCTCACGGCCACCACCCCCAGTGCCAGAGATTCACTTGAAACGGTCCTCGGCCTTCTCCCCAAGGTCGACTCGGCCTCAAATGAGTACCTGGGTGGTGGTGTGCAAACAATCGCCACTGGGGGGGGAGACAAAGGCGGCCCGGCGTGGTGCTGGTAGCCACCACCCCCCTCGTGTGCCACAGTGCCGGTAGCCTTCACAGGTGCTGCTCGCTAACAGCAATTGCCCCTACAGTCTGTTAGAGGCTACACGGGGGATCTTTGTCTTTGTGTCCCCCCCCACCTACCCCACCTCCCCACCACCTACCCCACCTCCCCACCACCTACCCCACCTCCCCACCACCTAACCACCCACCCCACCAACTAACCACCCACCCCACCACCTAACCACCCACCCCACCACCTAACCACCCACCCCACCACCACTCACCCACCCCACCACCTAACCAGCCACCCCACCAACTAACCACCCACCCCACCACCTAACCACCCACCCCACCACCTAACCACCCACCCCACCACCTAACCACCCACCCCACCACCTAACCACCCACCCCACCACCTAACCACCCACCCCACCACCTAACCACCCACCCCACCACCTAACCACCCACCCCACCACCTAACCACCCACCCCACCACCTAACCACCCACCCCACCACCTAACCACCCACCCCACCAACTAACCACCCCCCCCACCACCACCACCCCCACCCCCCCCACCCACCACCACCACCCCCCCCCCACCACCACCCCCCCCCACCACCACCCCCCCCCCCACCACCACCCCCCCCCCACCACCACCACCACCCCCCACCACCACCACCGCCGTTGTGTTTCCCGAGAGTTGTCTCCAACTCACCCTGAGGACTCTTGGGAGCTTTGGCCGTCCTGGCACAAAGACACCGCAACATGTGCATGGCGAATCCACCCCGCTTGGGTGTCTCCTCCTCCTCTTCTTCCTCCTCCTCCTCGTCCTCCTCGCCCTGCTCCCCGTCTCCACCTCGTCGCCTCCTCCTCCTCCGCCTACAGCTGTCCCCGCTCTCCGCGGGCTCTGCTGCTCCCGTGTCTCCTCCGCCTGGCTCCGAGGCTCTCCGCCGCCGCCGTCGCGTCTCCACGTCCTGTCTCTGGGACTCGCCGCCGTCCCCGTGTCTCCGCCACGTGGACCGGTGTCCCCGTGTCTCCGCCACGTCTTGTGACTCTCCGCCGTCCACGTGTCTCCGCCACGTGGCCCGGTGTCCCCGTGTCTCCGCCACGTCCTGTCTCTGGGACTCGCCGCTGTCCACGTGTCTCCACCACGTGGCCCGGTGTCCCCGTGTCTCTGCCACGTCTTGTGACTCTCCGCCGTCCACGTGTCTCCGCCACGTGGCCCGGTGTCCCCGTGTCTCCGCCACGTCCTGTCTCTGTGACTCGCCGCCGTCCACGTGTCTCCACCACGTGGCCCGGTGTCCCCGTGTCTCCGCCACGTCTCGTGACTCGCCGTCCACGTGTCTCCGCCACGTGGCCAGGTGTCCCCGTGTCTCTACGTCTCGGCCCGGGGACTCGCCGCCGTCCCCGTGTCTCCACCACGTGATCTTGTGTCTCCACCACGTGATCTTGTGTCTCCACCACGTGATCTTGTGTCTCCACCACGTGATCTTGTATCTCCACCACGTGATCTTGTGTCTCCACCACGTGATCTTGTGTCTCCACCACGTGATCTTGTGTCCCCGTGTCTCCACCACGCTTTGGTTCAGGGACTCGCTGTCCCCGTGTCTCCTCCACGTGTTGGTCTCAGAGACTCGTTGTCCCCGTGTCTCCTCCACGTGTTGGTCTCAGAGAATCAATGTCCCCGTCGTGTCTCCGTCTTGTGTCCCCGTGTCTCCACGTCTTGTCTCAGAAAGTCGTTGTCCCCGTGTCTCCACCACGTCTTGTCTCAGAGACTCAACGTCCCCGTCGTGTCTCCACGTCTTGTCTCACTGTCCCCGTGTCTCCTTGCCTTGTCTCAGTCCCCGCGGTGTCTCCTTGCCTTGTCTCACTGTCCCCGCGGTGTCTCCACCACGTCCTGTCTCACTGTCCCCGTGTCTCCTTGCCTTGTCTCAGTCCCCGTGGTGTCTCCTTGCCTTGTCTCAGTCCCCGTGGTGTCTCCACCCACGTCCTGTCTCACTGTCCCCGTGTCTCCTTGCCTTGTCTCACAGTCCCCTTGTCTCCTTGCCTTGTCTCACTGTCCCCGCGGTGTCTCCTTGCCTTGTCTCACTGTCCCCGTGGTGTCTCCACCAACGTCTTGTCTCACTGTCCCCGTGTCTCCTTGCCTTGTCTCACAGTCTCCGTAGTGTCTCCACCAACGTCTTGTCTCACTGTCCCCGCGGTGTCTCCTTGCCTTGTCTCACTGTCCCCGTGTCTCCTTGCCTTGTCTCACTGTCCCCGTGTCTCCTTGCCTTGTCTCACTGTCCCAGTGTCTCCTTGCCTTGTCTCAGTCCCCGCGGTGTCTCCTTGCCTTGTCTCAGTCCCCGCGGTGTCTCCACCAACGTCCTGTCTCACTGTCCCCGTGTCTCCTTGCCTTGTCTCACAGTCCCCGTGGTGTCTCCACCAACGTCTTGTCTCACTGTCCCCGTGTCTCCTTGCCTTGTCTCACAGTCTCCGTGGTGTCTCCACCACGTCCTGTCTCACTGTCCCCGTGTCTCCTTGCCTTGTCTCACTGTCCCAGTGTCTCCTTGCCTTGTCTCACTGTCCCCGTGTCTCCTTGCCTTGTCTCACAGTCTCCGTGGTGTCTCCACCACGTCCTGTCTCACTGTCCCCACGGTGTCTCCTTGCCTTGTCTCACTGTCTCCGCGGTGTCTCCTTGCCTTGTCTCACTGTCCCCGCGGTGTCTCCTTGCCTTGTCTCACTGTCCCCGCGGTGTCTCCTTGCCTTGTCTCACTGTCCCCGCGGTGTCTCCACCGGGCCCCAAGGCCCGGCCTGAGACGCGAGCGGCGGAGCGAGCAGCGGCAGCTCGGGGAGACCACGGGGGGGTGGGGGGTGGGGGGAGGGGGGTGGGGGGAGAGTGAGGGGTGGAGGGGCGGGGTGGTTCTGTGTGGCGTACAGGGTGGTGCTGTGTGGTGTACAGGGTGGTGCTGTGTGGTGTACAGGGTGGTGCTGTGTAGTGTACAGGGTGGTGCTGTGTAGTGTACAGGGTGGTGCTGTGTAGTGTACAGGGTGGTGCTGTGTGGTGCTGTGTAGTGTACAGGGTGGTGCTGTGTGGTGTACAGGGTGGTGCTGTGTAGTGTACAGGGTGGTGCTGTGTGGTGTACCGGGTGGTGCTGTGTGGTGTACAGGGTGGTGTTGTGTGGTGTACCGGGTGGTGCTGTGTAGTGTACAGGGTGGTGCTGTGTAGTGTACAGGGTGGTGCTGTGTGGTGTACCGGGTGGTGCTGTGTGGTGTACAGGGTGGTGCTGTGTAGTGTACAGGGTGGTGCTGTGTGGTGTACAGGGTGGTGCTGTGTGGTGTACAGGGTGGTGCTGTGTAGTGTACAGGGTGGTGCTGTGTAGTGTACAGGGTGGTGCTGTGTAGTGTACAGGGTGGTGCTGTGTAGTGTACAGGGTGGTGCTGTGTAGTGTACAGGGTAGTGCTGTGTAGTGCACAGGGTGGTGCTGTGTAGTGTACAGGGTGGTGCTGTGTGGTGTACAGGGTGGTGCTGTGTGGTGTGCAGGGTGGTGCTGTGTGGTGTACAGGGTGGTGCTGTCACTACCCCAACCCCTATCGCTACCCCAACCCCTATCACTATCCCAACCCCTATCACTACCCCAACCCCTATCACTACCCCTATCACTACCCCTACCACTACCCCAACCCCTATCACTACCCCAACCCCTATCACTACCCCAACCCCTATCACTACCCCAACCCCTATCACTACCCCTATCACTACCCCAAAGCCCATCACTACCCCTATCACTACCCCTATCACTACCCCTATCACTACCCCTATCACTACCCCTATCACTACCCCTATCACTACCCCTATCACTACCCCTATCACTACCCCTATCACTACCCCTATCACTACCCCAACCCCCATCACTACCCCTATCACTACCCCTATCACTACCCCAACCCCCTATCACTACCCCTATCACTACCCCAACCCCCATCACTACCCCTATCACTACCCCTATCACTACCCCAACCCCTATCACTACCCCTACCACAACCCCAACCCCTATCACTACCCCAACCCCTATCACTACCCCTACCCCTATCACTACCCCAACCCCTATCACTACACCAACCCCTATCACTACCCCAACCCCTATCACTACCCCAACCCCTATCACTACCCAACCCCTATCACTACCCCAACCCCTATCACTACCCCTATCACTACCCCAAAGCCCATCACTACCCCTATCACTACCCCTATCACTACCCCTATCACTACCCCAACCCCCATCACTACCCCTATCACTACCCCTATCACTACCCCAACCCCCTATCACTACCCCTATCACTACCCCAACCCCCATCACTACCCCTATCACTACCCCTATCACTACCCCAACCCCTATCACTACCCCTACCACAACCCCAACCCCTATCACTACCCCAACCCCTATCACTACCCCAACCCCTATCACTACCCCAACCCCTATCACTACACCAACCCCTATCACTACCCCAACCCCTATCACTACCCCAACCCCTATCACTACCCCTATCACTACCACAACCCTTATCACTACCCCTATCACTACCACAACCCCTATCACTACCCCTATCACTACCACAACCCCTATCACAACCCCTATCACTATTCCAACCCCAACCCCTATCACTACCCCTATCACTACCCCAACCCCTATCACTACCCCAACCCCTATCACTACCCCAGCCCCTATCACTACCCCAACCCCTATCACTACCCCAACCCCTATCACTACCCCAACCCCTATCACTACCCAACTCCTATCACTACCCCAACCCCTATCACAACCCCTATCACTACCCCAACCCCTATCACAACCCCTATCACTATCCACAACCCCTATCACTATCCACAACCCCTATCACTATCCACAACCCCTATCACTACCCCAACCCCTATCACTATCCACAACCCCTATCACTATCCACAACCCCTATCACTACCCCAACCCCTATCACTATCCACAACCCCTATCACTATCTACAACCCCTATCACTACCACAACCCCTATCACTACCCCAACCCCTATCACTACCCCATTCTTTATCTCATGTACAATTGTATAATTGTTGTAAAGCGCTTTGAATAAAAGGCGGCGCTAAATATACATCCATATGAGATAAGATAATTACGTTAAGTTAATACAAAATATAAATCTGAAGTAATGTTTTGTTTACCTCAGAGTCAAATCGGTAACGGCGGCGTTCAGGGCGAGCACGATTGAAATTCCCGCCAAAAACCCCCAGGGCGACGTCACCCGCGATGACGTCACCGAGAGAGGAGCCTGACGTGCGACGTCATCGCGAAAAACGGTCCGCGGCGTATGACGTCACTATCGCAGGACACTGATGTGTGACGTCAGAAGCCACAGACGGGGCGGCGGGGTGGTGGTGTGACGTCATCCGCGCAGGAAACGCGACGTGTGATGTCAGGCGGGCTGCCGTGTGAAAAATTAACTAGGTTTGGGACTGTGTCGCTTGACAGAAATTTGACGTCATCATCGCGGAATCGCGGAGTGACGTCATGGCAGTGGAGCGCGAGGCGTTCGACGACATTGAACAGACGAGCGTGACGCTGTGTGGAGGGGGGGGTCGAAAGGCGAGTGTGTGGGACGTAACGTCATCTGGAATGATATCTCGGCTTGTGACGTCATCCGAAGAGCGTGGCGCGTATGACGTCACTCCTGGAGGACTTGATGTTGACATTACAACCGTGCGTGGCGCTGATGGGATGTATAAAACATATACAGTGTACTGTATACACTAAATATGTTAACTGTCTGACCATATTACTCATTCTTGCTCCCTATTACCTACTGGACATGTGTGGGAAAAAAACGCTTTATAGCTCATCGGATTCCTGCAGTGTAAACCATTTTCTTTTTTTAAACAACTTTGAACAATTTTTATATTTTACCACGACTGACCTAAGCAGCTCAACGAAGTGGCATCATCGTCGTCGTCATAATCGTGATCATCGTCGTCGTAATCGTCATCATTATCGTCGTCATCGTCGTCATCATCGTCGTCATCATCATCATCGTGATCATCATCGTGATCATCGTCATCATCATGGTCGTCGTCATCATCGTGATTATCGTCGTTATCGTCGTCATTGTCGTGATCATCGTCATCATCATCGTCATCATCGTCGTCATCGTCGTCATCATGATCATCATCGTAATCATCGTCGTCATCGTCATCATCATCATCGTCGTGACCAAATAAGAAGAGGTTTCACCCTTTTTGGAAAGGAGGTGTTTAAGATGTTCAAACACCAAACATAAACCCCTTACATCATCATCATCGTCATCATCGTCGTCATTATCGTCATCATCATCGTCATCATGATCACCATCGTCGTCGTGATCATCGTCGTCATCGGCATCACGTGGGAAATTAAAAGTAGTCACGATCATTCTGCGTACGATTTACATAATAGAGGGGTGCGTTGGGGTTAGATCGATTAAATATATAAATGTTGTGTCGTTAAACCCGCCACCACCCGAGACAGCCCATTAGTGAGGGGTTTGTCACGTAAACAGAACGTGACAATTCGTTACTAGTCCAGCACTAGTGTGTAGTGTAGTGTATAGAGTAGTGTATAGTGCAGACATCTCTCCCCCCCCCCCCCCACCCGCCTGCGTGGTGCAGAAATTAGAATGGTTGCCCTCACTCGTGGGGGCTCAGTAACACCCCCCGTGGTGCAGAAGAATGGTTTCTCCCACCGGTGAGTCTCAGGAATCGCCCCCCCCCCCACCCCCCGGAGTGCTGAGACGAGAATGGTTTCTCCCACCGGTGAATCTCTGGAATCGCCCCCCCCCTCGGGAGTGCTGAGACGAGAATGGTTTCTCCCACCGGTGAATCTCAGGAATCCCCCCCCCCCCGGGAGTGCTGAGACGAGAATGGTTTCTCCCACCGGTGAATCTCAGGAATCCCCCCCCCCCGGCAGCGCTGAGACGAGAATGGTTTCTCCCACCGGTGGAGCCGACCCCGCACTCCGGGCGCGGTGCTGAAACGGACAGCGCCGGTGACGTCACGCGCGAGCTCTCTGAGGCCAGGGCCCTGCTGCACCAACGCGCAACTCCTGCGACAATCACAGGCGACCCCCACCCCTCGACACCTCCTGCACAAGTGAAAATGGTTTCTCCCGCCGGTGGAGCCAGAGAACCCCCCCCCCCCATGCGTGGTGCTGAAATGAGAATGGTTTCTCCCACCGGTGGATCCCATCCCCCGCCCCTGCCTGAACCACCGCGCAATCACAGCCACAACAACAACCACACATAGCCACCCCCCACCTCCCCGTAGTGCTGAAATGAGAATGGTTTCTCCCACTGGTGGAACCCAGGAGTCTCCCCGCGTAGTGCTGAAACGAGAATGGTTTCTCCCAACCGTGGAGGGCGGGGGGGGGGGTTTGAACTCCCCCCCCTCCATGCCGTAGTGCTGAGACGAGAATGGTTTCTCCCAACCGTGGAGGGGGGGGCTCAACCCCCCCCCCCCCCATGCCGTAGTGCTGAGACGAGAATGGTTTCTCCCAACCGTGGAGGGGGGGGCTCAACCCCCCCCCCCCCATTTCGTAGTGCTGAGACGAGAATGGTTTCTCCCACCCGTGGAGGGGGGGGGGGGCTCAACACTCCCCCCCCCCATGCCGAGACAAGAATGGTTTCTCCCACCGGTGGACTCCCCCCCCACCCCCATACGGGGCGTGGTGCTGAAATGGACAGCGCCGGTGACGTCACGCGCGGCCCCTCCGAGTCCAGGGCCCCGCTCAACCACCACCGCTCAACCACCACAGCAACAACAACAACAACGGCAACAGCCAATGCCGCGACAACAACAACAACAACCACGCACAGCCACAAACACCGACAACAACAACCGCAACCGTCGCCTGCCCCCGCCGCCACCACGACCAGCAACGAGACGAAGCGCGCTGTCAAATACAGCAGCCGCTGTAGTGCCATCACTTCTCGACACCATCTCGCCGCCCTGCATAACACAG